CCCCCAGCCCTGGGGACCCGCCCCACCCTGGCCTCCCCCCGCCTAGGAGCGGGGCAAGAGACGCAGGACAGGGGGAGGGAGGGGCTGCTTACTGGCTCAGGTACCCCCCTCCCCCTCTCTGAAGGGACAGGCAGATGAAGGGATGGAGAGGAGGACAGAGGAGAGGAGCTGGGGAGCCGGGGTTGCTGGGGTGGGGGGAGAGGGTAGGATGGGAGGGGGGAGAATAAGGGCCCCGCCCCCGAGGGCAGCCAGGATTGGGGGAGCAGAGAGCCTGTCAGAGGAAGGGTGGGAGGAGGGAGGATGGAGGGAGGATGGAGCGTCGTCATGGCAACTGGCTCCCCAGTAGCATTGGCCGCCAGGAGGGAGGGGAGGGAGAGGGACGGACAGGGACCAGCAGACCCTTGGGGTGGGGGGCGCAGGGCCCGCTGTGCCCGTCCTGGACCGCACTGTGACATGTCACCGGCATGGACACGTGTGCTCCACGCCAAACTGCAGATGTCAGGCAGGCAGACGCAGCCCACACACGGCTGACACACACGTCGCAGAGACCCTCACAGACAAGCACATCACATACAAAGGTGGGCAGCCATCGGCGGACAGGGACACGAACACATCACACACAAAGACGCAGGGATGAGGGGCTGCACTGGGGCCCAGCAGGCTGGCCCTCGGCACGGAGGCACCCAGCCACGCAGGAACGGCCAAGCACCACAAAGACCCACGCATGCCACAGACGGAGGAGAGCTCAGCATACACAGCTGCGTGTGCCACAGACAAAGATCCACGCGGGCTCCACGGTGACATACCGAGGCACGCATTCACAGACACGAGCACTCCACAGGCAAACGGGCAACAAAGAACACCCACAGGCACCGCATCACACACACAGAGACACGCAGGCATCACTTCCAGAGACATGTAAACACATGACACGCACTAACACAGACCCACAGCACATGCCCAACTAGGCACGGATACACAGCAGATACATGGAGAGATAAGCAATCACACTCACGAACACACGCACAACACATATACAGATAGAGACACGAGTACATAACAGATACACATCTCTCACAGAGACCCACATTCCACTCACCCCAAAACACACAGACACACATCACAGACACACAACCGTGAGGACAGGCACAACTCATACGTGGTTAAACACACACACACACACATTCAAAGAGTCACAGACATACAAAGCTATACAAACCACGTACAAAAATACACATATATCACACACGGCTGTGACCACATATAACACACACATGTACATACGGAAACACAGCACAGGCACAAACAGCGAGTACAGAGACGCACACAGGTAGACACTTCACAAATACACACACATTTCATACCATTTCATACAAGGTTACAAAAGCCACACTACCCCTCCACAGCCACACATCACACAGGGGCACATACAACACATGCCAAGGTGCAAACCACAAAGACACACACAGGGGAGAGGACACAGCCCACACGGCCACGGGCACTTCCCTCGCACAAAAGATACATAATCACAGTTTATTTTATATATTTATTCTTTGGAGCCGTTCCTCTGCGCCGGGCATTGTTCTCTGCGCTTTACACAGTGTTTACCTTTTATTCCTCACGGCAGGCCTCTGAGACAGGTGGTACCGTTACCGCGCCCATCGCACAGATGGGTAAACTGAGGCCCGGCCCGGCACAGTCCCCTGCCCCCCGGCGCACAGTCAGGAAGGGGCAGCACGGGGACTGGAACTCGGCCCGTCGGGACACACACAACACAGACAAGGACGCACACATCAG